GGTCACAAAGAAAAAAAGTGAAAGACCTGTGTTTTTGCCATCTCTCTAAACCCATAACTTAAAGTTATGCTAAGATTTATAGTTAAGCAACAGAAACCAACTCTGCCAACTAAAGGGGAAATAAATATTTGAAATCCTCAGAATTGATGGGAAGGCCAGCTAATCAAACTCAGAAAATAAAACCAGGGATCACAGCCGAAGTCACGACATAGGAATGGTCTAGGGAAGGATACCACAGCTGGAACTACCTCAATCACCACTGTAGGCTGCCATCTCAGATGAATTCTACTCTGTTCTAGTATCTTTACACTCCTTGTTTAAGACTCAGAGTCCTGGTGGGAGGATTCAAATGGCCAAGCCATTTGCCTTTGCTGCAAGGAGAGTGGGAGGGAAACTTTAGGTATCTTTGGCTTTTCTTGTGGATTGTGGAACCCTGTCTCCCATTAAGATTCACACAAAGGAAGAGGTTTCAGATCTTGGGAAGACAAAAAACAAAAGCAAATCCTAAATTTTCACTAAGCCTCTGACTATCAGTTTATTTTCTATTCATTCAGTATATGTTTACCAGTAACTTCCATATACAAGGTTTTATACTGTGTACTTCTTGTAGATACAAAATGATTAAGACACGCTTCTGAGGAGCTCATTGCTTACTTGGGAAGATGAATCATACACAGATAAGAATACTACAAAGTAGGCCCAGTGGGTATGGCCCAGTGGTTGAGTGTCAACCCATGAACCAAGAAGTTTGATTCCTGGACAGGGCACATTCCCGGGTTGCAGGCTCAATCCCCAGTAGGGGGCATGTAGAAGGCCGCTGGTTGATGTTTCTCTCTCACCGATGTTTCTCTCTATCCCTCTCCTTTGCTCTCTAAAATAAATTAAAATAAACATATTGCCCGGTGGTGTAGCTCAGCAGTTGAGCATAAACCCAGGAACCAAGAGGCCACAGGTTCAATTCCCAGTCAGGACACATACCTAGGTTGTAGGCTCAATCTCCTGTAGGGGGCATGCAGGAGGCAACAGATCAATGATGTTGCTCTCTCATCGACATTTCTCTCTAT